TACCTGCCCCCCTAATGTCTCTACCTTAATAAGGGACAGGACACTTTAGATCTCAGACCCTGTGTTCAGTAGGCCTTGAACTGTTGGGTATTACCTTTGCCCAGTGTATGACCACCAACTAAGGGGCAGTAGGTCTTCTTGGGTGCACATTGGGCTAATCATCACTGTGGGCACTTGCCCTGGTGTTATGGGTTCCTAATTCCTGGGGATCTGGCCATGTTTTCTGTCAGTGGCTTTTAGGTCTGAAATCTGCTCAGACCAGAGCTGGGTGAGGGGTCATGACTTTTAATAGGGTGACTTCCCTCAGCTTCCTGCTCATCCATTCCTGTTTCCTTTGAATTGGTATGTATGTATGTATGCATGCATGTATTAGGCAGGCAGTGCTCTGTTGAGGGACCATCTGTTTTGCTCCTAGGAATGCTATCTCTTGTTATCTGTTGCCACAACTCGGCCAGTTGGCCTTCCTTGCCTGGCACGCTGCCTTGTTGGTCGTTACGATAATTGCTACCCCTGACTTCTGGCAGTCACATACCATCTCCAGGCTGCTATTGCTGTGGGGCCAGGTTTAGCTGCCGAAATCAGGAGTGGCCACAAAGCTCATTATCAGTAAGTCACACTTTGTGACACAAGTCACACTCAGGACCTGCCAACCTGGCGACCAAGGGACACCAAGGGACCAAGTGTCACTCATTCCACCTCTGTCACCTCTCCTAAGAGTGGAATCATTGGGTTATCTGGTAAGTGAATGCTCAACTGCCAAAATGTTTTCCAAAATGTACTGTGTTACACTATGTCCAGCAATCTGCAAGAGACCCATTGTTCTACATCTTTGCCAAGAGTTGGTACTGTTGATCTTTTTAAAATTAAATTTTAGCCATTCCAGTAGGTATGTAGTACATCTCATTTTGGTTTTATTTTGCCTTTCTCCAGTTACCATTGATATTGAGCATCCTTTCTGGTGATTGCTGACCATTCATGTTTTCTTTTATGAATTGTCTGATTCAGTCTTCTGCCATTTTTAAAAATTGGGTTATTTGTGTTACTAAGTTGCGAGAGTTCTTTATATATTCTGGATACAAGCCCTTTGTCAGATATATGTATTGGAATATTTTCGTCCAGTTTTTTTTTTTTTTTTTTTTTTAATTTATTTGCGAGAGAGAGAATGAGAGACAGAGAGCATGAGAGGGAGGAGGGTCAGAGGGAGAAGCAGACTCCCTGCTGAGCAGGGAGCCCGATGCAGGATTCGATCCCGGGACTCCAGGATCATGACCTGAGCCAAAGGCAGTCGCTTAACCAACTGAGCCACCCAGGCGCCCTTTTCTTCCAGTTTTGTTTCATTTTTTTTTTCTCTTTTAAAAAAGATTTTATTTACTTATTTATTTGAGAGAGAGAGAGAGAGAGAGAGAATGAGCAGGGGGAGCAGCAGAGGGAGATGGATAAGCAGACTCCCCGCTGAGTAGGGAGCCTGACCCGGGGCTCCATCCGAGGACCCTGAGATCATGACCTGAGCCGAAGGCAGACACTTAACTGACTGAGACACCCAGGCACCCCTTGTTTCATTTATTTCCATGGTGTCTTTCCAAGTTTTTAATTTTGTGAAGTTCAGTGTCTTTTGGTAGATAGACATTCTTAATTTTAACATGGTCTGTGTTACCAGTCTTTTCTGTTATGATTAGTGTTTTATTCTGCCCTGTTTAAGAAATCTTTGCTTATCCCAAGGTTGTGAGGATATTCTACTATGTATTATAGAAAAGATTTGTATTATTTTGTCTTTTACATTTTAATCTTCAGTCTGTTTGGAATTGATTTCTGGGTATGTTGTGAGATAGGATACAAATTCATTTTTCTCATGAATATACAATTGATGCAGCATCTTTTACTGGAAAGACCATCCTTTGTCCACTTCAGTGCAGTGGCATTTTTGTTATAAGTCAGCTGACCATCCTTGTAAGGTCTGTTTCTAGATTGCATTTTCTTTCTCTGGTCTATTTATTTGTGATCCAGTCCCAAATTAATTACAGATTTGTAAATCAGCCAGTTTTGTTCTTCTTCATGACTGTTTTGTTGACTATGTGGGCAGTTCACATTTCCATGTAAATTTTAGAACTTTAGAAGCAGGTTGTTGGCTTCTACCCAAAAAGCCTTTTGGAATTTTAGTTAAGATTCATGGACCCATGGGACGCCTGGGTGGCTCAGTCGTTAAGCGTCTGCCTTCGGCTCAGGTCATGATCCCAGGGTCCTGGGATCAAGTCCCACATCGGGCTCCCTGCTCAGCGGGGGGTCTGCTTCTCCCTCTCCCGCTCTTCCTGCTTGTGTTCCCTCTCTCGCTGTGTCTCTCTCTGTCAAATAAATAAATAAAATCTTAAAAAAAAAAAAAAAAAGATTCATGGACCCTTTACAGCAGTGAAGCTGTCTATGAACATGGTATACCCCTCCATGTATAGGCCTTTACTTTCTCTCAGCAGTGGTCTTCATTCTGCCATGTACAGGTCTTGCACTTCTTTAGTTTGAGATTATTGGATACTTGATTTTTTTTTAAAGATTTTATTTATTTATTTGAGAGTGAGAGAGAGAGCATGAGAATTGGGAGGGTCAGAGGGAGAAGCAGACTCCCCGCTGAGCAGGGAGCCCAATGCTGAACTCGATCCTGGGACTCCAGGATCATGACCTAAGCCGAAGGCAGTTGCTCAACTGACTGAGCCACCCAGGTGCCCTGGATACTTGATTTTTTAATGTGATTATTAATGTTTTTAAAAATTTTCTAAATTTTTCGGGCACCTGGGTGGCTCAGTTGGTTAAGCAACTGCCTTCAGCTCAGGTCATGATCCTGGAGTCCCGGGATCGAATCCTGCATCGGGCTCCCTGCTCAGCAGGGAGTCTGCTTCTCCCTCTGACCCTCCTCCCTCTCATGCTCTCTGTCTCTCATTCTCTCTCTCTCAAATAAATAAATAAATAAATAAATCTTTAAAATTTTCTAAATTTTTGTTGCTAATCTACAGATACCCAATTAATTTTTATATATCACCTTGGTGTTCAGCAATTTTGCTAAATTCCCTGTTTTGTTTCTAACAGTATAGATTGTCTTAAGTTTTCTACATACATCGTCATTAACAAGTAGTGATGTTTTAATTTCTTCTCCCATTCTTACACCTTTACTTTTTCCTTGCCACACGAAGTAGTCAGGACCTCTAGTATAGTGTTAACTAGAAGCGGCAATGCAAAGCATTCTTGTCTAATTACTGTTCTCAAGGTGAAAGCATTTAATATCTCACCCCCAACTGCTATGTTGCTGGGTGAGGAAGAAGTTACAGGGAAAGACTTACTTTCCTGACGCCTGAGCAGAGTTCCCCAGAGAAGGAGTTTGTTCTGTGGGGCTCTGCCACCAGCCCGTTCTCCCATAGACAAGCTGTATGTACCTCCCCTTGTAGAGGAGCCTCACTTGGTTCTCACACTGGGTAGCTCCATCCCTGTTCAGATTAGGTGGTTCTTTCTCGTGTCATTTAGGGAGACACATATCATCTGTGTCTGTACAGGGTGGGTGTTTCAGCCTTCATTTCTTCTTTCTGCCTCAGCGTTGCCAGCCCTCTCTTCAGGTGGATATTCTCGGATTTTAGGGGTGACACCGAGGCCTCACAGGCTCTGCAGAAACACCGGGTGCCTGGAAGGTTCCACAGGAAAATTAGTTTCTTGTGTAGAAAAGCCAGGGCATGCTGCATTTTCCTAGGTGAAACGGGAAGGCTAACATGAATTATATACACATGGCTCAGCAAACGGCATGTGAGATGAGCGCCAGGATCGGATCCGAGACCCCGGTGGAAAGCCTGCCCCCTGCCCATCCTCTGATCCTGGTGATGATGGTGAAGCCAGGCATCTGCCCGTCGTGTACACTGATGATGGCTTGGCTGATCAGCTGGTGTTTGGACTGAAGGGCCACAGAGCTGAGAAATGGGACACTTCCCGGTGTGGATGCGGCCCTCTCGTGTTCTTACTTCACACGGGAAATGCGCAGTGTTCTCCCTTGTTCTGCATTTCCTTTATGGTCCTCACTCAGTGTCGGCTGTGATTTAGTGTTGAAACCTGTTCCTTGTTTTACCATCATGTACTAAAGGCCTTTAGAAGGGAAAGTGTGTAGCACATACGCAGTTTGGAACTCAGTGGAAATCACATTTGAAAGGATTTGTGTTTAGGAATTCATGATTAAGTTTTTATCACATAATGTTAAATCTGATATTTTTGGTTTGTTTTATTTCTCTTTTTGTTTTACTGAAACATTGTGTAGAGGGGCAGCGACCTGGCTCCTGGCATGTTCCCTGGTCTTCCTTACCTAAGCTTAGTGTTCTTATCCACACCGTGGCATTTGAAACTGCTCTGTGAATACAGATTCCGGGAGCATCTTGAAAACCAAGCGTCGGGACTCTGAGATGGGTGGTGAGCCGCCACCGTTGTCTGTGGGAGACGCTGTGTCCGTGCGGCGCCTTCGGGCACTGGGCTGCTGTCTGCCTGGAGAACCAGGACAGTGGCAGGACAGCGCCGTGTACGCGCCGGGGGCCGGGGTTCCCCACACGCTCCCGCCTTAGCGCCCCGGCCAGGCGCCGAGTTCCTGTGGCGGGGCCCTCCTGCCCCTGGGCCCACCCTCGCCCCGAGCTGCACTCGTGGTGTTTGTGTCTGCAGCACACCCACCCCCTCATTTTGCTCCCTGTTTTGAAGAACCGTTGAGGAAGGACGGGAGGAAATCGATTTTGAGGAAAATTAAATTTTCTTCTGAAGCGGAATGATGGCTGCGCCACGGGAGGCAGGGGTCAGGCGGCTGCTGGTGGGGAGCTGTAGCTGTTCTCGCGAGCTCCAGGTCGGTGCCCCTCGCTCTGCCGGCTCTCGGCGGCCCGCGGTGCTCAGTGTTTTAAAGAGCGGGTGTGCCCTGCCCCTGCGCCTGGGGGCTGTGCTGTGCTGTCTGGATTGGGGCCACGTACCACGCTCTGTTGACATTGCCCTCTGTTGCTCAGCTTCAGACAGCAAAGTCCTGACGTGCGCAGCCGTGTGGAGGATGCCGAAGGAGCTGGAGCCGGGCAGCCACGAGTCCCCCGACGATTCGTCCAGCACCGCGCACAGCCTGGAGCTGCTCTGTCACCTGGACCACACCGCCCACGGCAGCACAGCCTGGTAGGGCTCTGCATGTTTCAGACGCCACGGCGAGCCTGGAGGCTCGAGCGCGCGGGCGCACACTCCTGTTCCTGGGCGCGCGGCTCACGCTCGGAGCCCTGCTTTCTTGTGAAAAGATCGTATAGATGGCTGGCTTTCTCTCTCTCTCTCTCTCTCTCCCCCACTTCCTTCCTTCCTTTCCTGTTTCTCAGTCTCAGTTCTTCTCCAGATTAGATACAGCACGGAAACTCTGTTGCCGTGAAGGAGCCTGTGTGCGGGTGTCCTTTCCATCTAAATCTGTGCTGCCAGGTCCCTGCCAGGACGAGGGTGAAGTTGGTGCTGGAGAGCACTTAAATGTCCTGTTGCTCTTTAGCTTCGTAAATACACTTCCATTCAGCAATCTTAAGTGTAAATTGATTGATTTCTTACTTTAGGCTGAAGGCTTGTAGTTTCTTCTTTTGTAGACTGAGTAAGGATGTGCTGTGTGCACACCGTGTCGTTCCCCGAGCCCTGCACATCTTTATCCTTGCGTGTGTCTCCTCCGCATGTCGTGTGCCAGGGGATGGAGATGCCACCAGCGCCCATCAGGGCTGCCTGGCCCGTCGCTGCCCACGTGTTGTGGCCGAGGCTTGGCGGCACTCACCTCCATACCCGGTGGGAGCCTCCTCAGAGCACTGAAGCCTCGGCACATTCAAAAGGCTGTGCTTTCTAGAAGGGACTGTGGGAGCATAATGTTGGTATGGGTGTTTATAACAGTAATTATTGTTTTACTTAGTGTAGTAACACTTCCGTGTGTGCACACAAGTGTGCATATGTGAGAAAGAGCTCTAGCCTCTGTATACCCACTTCTGTTTGGGCCAGATATACCAATTAAATAAGTTTAATCCAACACGTATTTATTAAGCACCTGCTGCATGCACCTGCCAGACTCCAGGGATGCCAGTGTGATGGGTCAGGGACCCGGCCTCAAGGAGTCATGCGTGATCTCCCAGGGGAGACCCCCAGGGTAAAGATCTGAGTGACACCGGGCAGGCTGTGGCATGCACTGCGATCATTAGGAACTCCGTGCCATGGGCCCCCCGAGGAAAGAGTTATTCGTTTTTACCAGTGGAATCGAAGAGGGATTTGCTTAGGAACGACGTGTGGAGCTGGGACCAATGCAGTCTCCGTGGCAGCAGCGGGTCTTGGAGTGGCAAAGGGAGCAGAGCTGTGGGTCGGCACCATCTGTGGCCCTGGAAGGCCTTTGTGCGCTCGTTTGCGGGCGGTGTGTTTTCATGGGTGCCAGGCTGCTGTTCTCCACACGGAGGTGTCAGACCCTGTCTGCAGGAAGAGGAGACGCACAGCAGCCCTGCATCTCATGAGGGGTTGCGAGAGTGCAGAGCGAGCCTGGAACGTGTGCAGACAGACGCACACGTGTGCACGAGTGCAGTATGTACGTAAGTGCCAGGAGATAGACTGGCACGGGGGGAGCAGGGAAGACACAGTGCAGACCAGCAGCAACTTTGGGGAGGTCAGATGGCATCAGTGACTTTGATGAGTGCACAGATGGGCTGAGCTCAGAGGAGCAGCAGAGGGGCTGCTGGTCCACTTCCCCAGCTCCCACCTGGGTTCAGATACTCCATCCGGTGTTCCATCAGAGGAGTGGTCACCTCTGTCTACATGTGCTTGTCAGAAAATGAATGTCCGTGAAATGTTCAGTCTGGGTCACACCCCCATGATCACAATCCTATCATCACAACCCGGTGATCACACACTCAGTGATCATACCCGTGATCGCACCCCCGTGATCACAATGCCATTATCACACCCCCAGTGATCACACACTCGGTGATCACACCCATGATCATATTCCTATCATCACACCCCTGGTGATCACACCCCCGGAATCATATTCCTATCATCACACGCCCAGTGATCACATACTTGGTGATCACACCCCCTGTGATCGCACCCCCGTCATCATAATCCTGTCATCACACCCCCAGTGATCACACCCCCAGAATCATATTCCTATCATCACACCCCCGGTGATCACACCCTCAGTGATCACACCCCAGTGATCACACCCATGATCACACCCCTGTGATCACAATCCTATCATCACACCCCCAGTGATCACACACTCGGTGATCACACCCCTGTGATCACAATCCTATCATCACACCCCTGGTGATCACACACTCGGTGATCACACCCATGATTGCACCCCCATGATCATATTCCTATCCTTACACCCCCGGTGATCAGACACTTGGTGATCACACCCATGAGCATATTCCTATCACACCCCTGGTGATCATACCCCTGTGATCGCACCCCTGTAATCACAATCCTATCATCACACTCTTGGTGATCACACCCCCAGTGATCACACCCCCGTAATCCTATTCTTATCATCACACACTCAGTGATCACACCCCAGTGATCACACCCATGATCGCACCCCCGTGATCATATTCCTATCATCACTTCCTCGGTGATCACACCTCTGGAATCATATTCCTATCATCACACCCCCAGTAATCATACATTTGGTGATCACACACCAGTGATCATAACCCTAGTGACCACATGCTCCGTGATCACACCCATGATCACTCCCCCATAATCATATTCCTATCATCACACCCCTGGTGATCACACGCTCTGTGATTGCACCCCTGTGACCATACCCATCATCACTCCCCTGTAATCATATTCCTATCATCATACCCCTGCTATCACACTTGGTGGTCATACACCAGTGATCACACCCCTGGTGATCACATGCTCTGTGATTGCACCACTGTGATTGCACCCCCATGATCACACCCATGATTGCACGCACAGGGTCACGCCACTGATCATATTCCTATCATCATACCTCCAGTACTCACACCACTGGTGATCACACCCCCTGTGATGGCATACCCCCTGTGATTGCACCCCCCGTGATCGCAGCCCCCCATGATCAAACCCCCGTGATCACACCGCCATGATTGCACCCCCTTGATCTCACCCCTTTGATTGCATCCCCTGATCACACCCCTGTGATCACACCCCCATGATCGCACCCCCCTGTATCACATCCCCATGATCACACCCCCATGATCTCATCCCCGTGTTTGCACCCCCCCGCCGTGATCATACCCCCGTGATTGCACTCCCCTGATCTCACCCCCATGATCGGATCCCTCCCTGTGATTGCACCCCCATGATCACACCCCCATGATCGTACCCCCCGTATCATATCCCTGTGATTGCATCCCTGTGATCACACCCCCCCATGATCACAGCCCTGTGATCGCATCCCCATGATCACACCCCCATGATTGCACCCCCCGTGATAGCACCCCTGTGATCACCCCCCAGTGATCACACTCCTGTCATTGCACCCCCATGATCATACTCCATGATCACAACCCCATGATCGCACTCCCCCCATGATCACACTCCTGTGATCACACCCCTGTGGTCACACCCGTGATCACATCCCTGTGATCTCACCCTCCCATGATCGCACCCCTGTGATCACACCCGTGATCGCATCCCCTCAGTGATCACACCCCTGTGATTACACCCCTGTGATCAAGCCCCGTGGTCACACCTCCGTGATTGCACCCCTGTGATCACATTCCTTTAATCACACTCCATGATCACACCCCCTGTAATTACACCCCTATTTATGAAAGGGGAACTTCTTAGGAAGTAATTGTTGATACATAAACACATCCAGAGAAATGGTCTTCCTCAAATTCACGTTGGAAGGCTGCCCTCTTCTGAATTTGCTGCCATTGTTCCAAGCATTTCTTGAATTCCTTTTGTTATCACTTATGTCACTATATGTGTTTGTTGACCTTTTCGCCTTGAAGTGGCTGTGATCCACCTGCAGCTATAGGAACAATACAGACAGATCCCATGTGCTCGTCCCCCCATCTCCCCTGGTGGTGACATTGCATAATCCCTCTGCACAGTCACCACTGGGGATGTGGTGTTGATAGGACCCACCGCGTGTGCACACTGAGTTCTCTGCCATGTCATCACGTGTGTCTCTTGAGGTGCAGCCGGCACCGTAGTCAACATACAGAACCGGGAGCCCTTCTGCTGCCTGTTTATGGCCTTAGCCCACTGCTCCCCATGCGCCATCCTTAATCCCCGGCAAGCACCAGTCTGTGCTCCTTCTGTAGATTTGTCATTTTGAGAAGGTTCTATGAATGGAATCGTCCACTCTGGAAGCTTTGATCGTGGCTTTGTGCACGCACTGTGATTCCCTGGGGGGTCCTTCCTGTTGTCACCTGTGTCTGTCAGTGGCTCCGCCCCTTTATTCTGAGTGGTAGTCCGTGGGACCGTGGTTTCTGTGACCATTCACCTATGAAGGACAGCTGGGTTTCCACCGGGATTTGGACATCCTGATAAAGCTGCTCTGAACAGGAATGGACAGGTGCTCACGTGAACATAGGTCTTCATCTCTCGCAGCCGAATGCCCTTGAGTGCAGTTCGTGGGGTACCTGTAGGTGAGTGTTTTGTACAAACTGTTGGAGCAACATGTGAGGCCCAGTCTCTGCATCCTCGCTGGCCTTTGGGGTTGTCATGCATGGTTTTTTTAAGTGTCTTTTTTTTTTTTTTTTTTTTTAAGATTTTATTTATTTATTTGACACCGAGCATGGAGCCTAACGCAGGACTTGATCCCAGGACCCCAGGATCATGACCTGAGCCGAAGGCAGACACTCAATGACTGAGCCACCCAGGTGCCCCTTTTAATGATGTCTTATTATCTGATAGGGAATTTGGCTTTTGGAAATTTAAGTCTGGTGAATACATGAACGTGAAGGTGCTGTTTGGGGTCAAACATGGGGCAACTGGTAGTTTTGTTTGCTTGCTTTCCTTTTTGGTTTATTTATTTATTTATTTATTTATTTATTTATTTATTTATTTATTTATTTATTTATTTATTTAAAAGATTTTATTTATTTATTTGAGAGAGCGAGAATGAGAGACAGAGAGCATGAGAGGGGGGAGGGTCAGAGGGAGAAGCAGACTCC